ACGGTTCGGTACGATTTCGGTACAATGGAGGGAAAAGCAAAACAAAAATGCAGAAGGCATTGTATTTTTTAAATAAGTTTTTTTAATAAAGGCATAGAACCAGTTTATTTGTAGTGCACTGACAATAGTTTTATATAATTAGTTTATTAATTAAATTAATAAAAAGACAAAAAGACCTTGCGATATGTTTGGTAATTGTACCTGAATTAATTTAAAATTATTTTGCTATATCTCAGATCAAAATATTTGTTTTTCCTTAATTTTAATTAACATTATTAATTGACAATGTAACATTATTCTCTTCTGAATTATAAATAATTGATTTCTGTATAAAATAATAGGCCTACTACCATTAAAAACACATTCGATTTTCTTTTTTTAATCAATGTAGAATGTGTGAGATTAGTGCTCCGAGGACTAGAAATGGAAACCAATGCAATATGACGAATGTCCAAAAGATGGAACACACAGACTGTTTTGAAATGGATTTGGATAAAAATATGTTTTGCTTTTAAAACAGTGTGTGTGTGTGTGTGTGTGATTTTGGTTGGGTGACAGTTGTAGGTTACAGTTTGACAAGAGTTTACAGTGTGACAAAAGCACAATGTTGTGTTTTATTGCGAGTGTACACAAATATAAGTAAACACTTTGGAGTATGTTTTTTATGTTTCCACTGTTCTATCGCGCGCCTCTCTCTCTCTCTCTCTCTCTCTCTCTCTCTCTCTCTCTCTCTCTCTCTCTCTCTCACTCACTCCACTCACTCACTCACTCACTCACTCACTCACTCACTCACTCACTCACTCACTCACTCACTCACTCACTCACTCACTCACTCACTCACTCACTCACTCACTCACTCACTCACTCACTCACTCACTCACTCACTCACTCACTCACTCACTCACTCACTCACTCACTCACTCACTCACTCACTCACTCTCTCTCTCACACACACACACACACACACACACACACACACACACACACTCCAGCATTGCAATCTTGACATCGCTGCCTGTTCATTATGCGGTCACGGTCACACCAAACGCGAATAGAGCGTCAAATTCGCGTCTAGTTCGACGCTAGTCCAAAGCGAATAGGACGCGCGTATAAAGCCAACGTTTGAACGTTTGAATCCAACGATGGTACAGATTATGTGTCCCTAAAGAACCCGCGTATCTAACGGTAGTTCCGCATTACATTAATTAATTTGCACGCGAGTTTTATTTATTTTTATACCGTGTATTCTCCGTGTAAATTCGTGCACTGAACCGTGACGCCCGTACCGTTTCGGTTCGATACGAATACATGTACCGTTCCACCCCTAGGTAGTAGCATATATACTATTCTTATAGCTTTAATGTTTTAATATTTTCTTTATCATTTAATAGTATCATTTAATAGTATTCAAACATTTATTTATTATTAATAAATATTTTAATATGTATGGAGGAGCATATTCTTTTGTAGCTTTAACATTTTATGTTTTTTTTTTTTTTTTCAAACTTGTACTTAATTCTTAATTATTGATTAAAGGGTTACGTTTTAGTATCCTCATGTGTATATTTGCCCCTATATGTCCATAATATTCATCAAATTGCAGTATTGATTTAAAAACCCTCCAAACAACCCTATTTTAGGTATGAATTTTAAGACGCAACATCCTGGGCGAGTTAAATCTCTGTTAAAGAAGTTCCACCTCTAAAGTCATCCCATTTGAAGCATCACCAGCCATCAAAGTGCCGCTTTTGTAATAAATTCACTGCCTTATTTCAAGCCTATTACTGTCAGACTTCAAATCGTCTACTGCGAGTAATGTTTCCATTTATTATGTGTAGGCTAATCCATTTTCATGATAGTTTTGCATAGTCATGATTTATAGGGGTTTATCCGGGTTATCTATCAGTTACCCCACTGAAGGACAGCATTTAGGTTACACATACTGCTAAGAAATGCATTTGATCTGCTTAATTTGAATTTTACATCTCACAACCCATTTTACGAAATTAGGAAATCAGGAAATTCAAAAGGAAAAAATATGTGATGGCTGATGGGTCTTGATTTTATCCATCGTGGTCTATAATAATAATAATAATAATTCATTACATTTATATAACGCTTTTCTCTGCACTCAAAGCGCTTTACATGGAAGGGGGAATCTCCTCAACCACCACCAATGTACAGCATCCACCTGGATGATGCGACGGCAGCCATAGTGCGCCAGAACGCTCACCACACACCAGCTATTAGTGGAGAGGAGACAGAGTGATGAAGCCAATCAGTGCATATATATGGAGATGATTAAGAGGCCATGATGGACAGAGCCCACTGGGCAAATTTGGCCAGGATGCCAGGGTTACATCCCGGGATTTTTTTTTTGTGACCACAGAGTCAGGACCTCGGTTTAACGTCTCATCCGAAGGACGGTGCTCTTTGACAGTATAGTGTCCTCGTCACTATACTGGGGCGTTAGGACCCACACAGACCACAGGGCGAGCGCCCCCTGCTGGCCTCACTAACACCTCTTCCAGCAGCAGCCTTGTTTTCCCAGGAGGTGTCCCATCCAGGCTTAACCCTGCTTAGCTTCGGTGGGCAACCAGTCTTGGGCTACCAGGTGAAATGGCTGCTGGCGATGTAGTAGTAGATGTAGTTGATTGGATTGTCCATTACATACCAGAATTGACTTTGGTGTTTGTTGGGGAGAGATTGAAACTGAGATTTGTGTGGCTTCGGAGCAGAGTGTTTCCCGAGTGGAAGGAACGGGCAGGGAGGTGTGGCTGAATGGTATTGTGGAGGAAAGATGAAGCTGTCAAGTCTGTCGTTGGACTGTGTGTGGTTTACTGGGCTGTCTTTGCCCTCCTCTTAGCTGTTTTGCAATGTGTTTCTCTCTCTCCATACTAATCCTTTGCTTTTCCTTTCCTCTCTCTTTCCACACTTCTTTCCATTTTAAAGGTAGGATGATCCGCCCATTTACTGAACTTTTGGCAATTGTGCAAGTCTAAATGTTACACTGATTTATAAACTAGTTACTTGAACCGTTAAGGTTATTGTAGTATTCTTTTATTTTAATTGTTTAATTGTATTATTATAGTTTGTTACTACTAACTTATAATATTTTTTAATTATTTTTTCTGAAAGGATGCATCAAATTGATAAACGAATTATAATGCTTTAAAAGATTTCTATGTCAAATAAATGCTGTCCTTTTGAACTTTCTATTCATCAAGGAATCCTGAAAATATGCATCACGGTTTCCATAAAAATAGTTAAGCAGCACAACTGTTTTCAGCATTGATAATAATATATATATATATTTATTTTGAGCAGCAAATCAGCATATTAGAATGATTTCTGAAGGATCATGTGACACTGAAGACTGGAGTAATGATGCTGAAAATTCAGCTTTGCATCACAGGAATAAATTTACATTTTAAAATTATATTCAAATTGAAAACAGTTATTTTAATTTAACTTTTTCCACTATATTTTTTATATAAAAAAAAGCAGCCTTGGTGAAAAGATACTTCTTTCAAAAACATTATAATTATACCGACCACATATATACACACATATACACAAATGTGTTTGAGTAGCATGTCTCAAGTCTCAACACGGCAATCAACTCACTTTGTTTTGCATCTTCACACAAAGTTCAACATGTCTGGGCCGTGACCCGACCCCCCGCACTTCTTCAGGCTGTATCTGTCTTTAGACTGCCAAGAACGAACACAAGGTTTGGGGAAAATACACGCCTCTTTAATTGCCCCGTGATTACTCCAGTTTGTTAACATTTTAGAACGGTAATCTTACAGTTAGAGATGAATCTTATCTTTCATCATAGTTGAGAGATGTTTGTGTAGACCTTTTAATGACAGGCCGGGTGTAGCTGCTTCCCGTTTCAGGAAAAGAGGAAGAACATGGTAATGTAAACGAAAGTGTCTCCTATCTACAGGAAGGACAAAAAGGGACGAGAGGAGGGAAACTTCACTCCTTTCACGGAGGTGGGGGATTTTGCTTGATCTAGTGAAACCAGGTTTAGGAATTTTTGCTTATGACATTCAAAAATCCCACCTTCTGTGACCTTAATGGCAAACCGATGCAAAAACATCCTAGATACCAAGTGAAAATCCCAGCCGTCAGGGACTTTTTGCTGCGTTACCCGACCTCTGGTTAGTAAATGTTTAGCAGCTGTTCCACTGCTATGAGTTCTGCAGTGAAGTGGGCATCATCAACCTCCGCCATCGGCAGGAAATGATGCGTTTAGAGGCTGTCGGACATCTTTGTTTTGTCCCTGGAGTGTTTTGAGCGATTCAGAGAGTCATCAGGAAGGTCACAGTGTGTGTTTTGAGGCATGAATGTGTGCTGAGAACAAGCATGGATGGGACAGACAAACTCTCAATGCGATCAAGCATGAATAAACAAACTAAATCAAATTCAAATCTGTTTGATACGGCAAACGGTGATCCTAGAGCACAAGGAATATGTCTCTAGAGATAATATCTGCTTCAATTTGTCCTCATTATGTTTTTTCTGCTGACTCTGGGTAATATCTTTCTTTATGAGAATAGACAGATGGGATGGGAACAAATTTCATGTTGGTTTGTTTTGTGGCCATATGCAAGGATAAAATTTGACAAACGTATATATAACATTTTGGTAGATATATGCATTTAAAAAAAAAAAGTGTTTTCTGGGAAAATGGTCCAAATATATTTTAACAATTTTTTTTCATATGTGAGAATGGAATCCTCAACTGACTATTAATAGCCAGCCAGAATGTGAAAAAAAGTTATTGTTTTAATGTTTTTTTTCCCCCTTTGTCTTTGTGTCAAATGACTTCATATGTCATTATAAGAGAACTCATGTGTGATGTTTAGGCCCCCATGAGTATATTATGGCTGGTCTGAACCTGCTCAACTTTTATTGGCCTATAATAAGAGTGTCCATTGAACTTACCCCTCTTATTCTTTCTCTCACCCTTCTTCCTGTCTGCTCCCCAGGCACTGGCAGCTAATGCAGGTACAGGATTTGCTGTTGCAGAGCCGCAGGTCGCCATGTTTTGTGGCAAACTCAACATGCACATTAACATCCAGACTGGCCGCTGGGAACCGGACCCTTCTGGATCCAAAACCTGCGTCGGAACCAAAGAAGGAGTTCTGCAATACTGTCAGGAGGTAAAATAACGCTACACAGCAGAAATATGTCTATTAAAAACATTGCCATTTAGCTGAATATTTTTTTCTCAAACTTCTTGATAAGGTGTGAAAAGGTTGCTGGTTCAGTTCTTACAATCTCCTGATTGATAAAATCTTCACTTATCATGTTTCACTTGGAAATGCATAGGTTGGGTTACACACTGGCTTAAATTAACTTTTTACTTTTTAATATTTAGTAAATTATAATATTATAAATTACATAACTGTTCAAAAGTTTTGGGGTCAGTAAGATATTTTTTTAATATGAAATTAACACTTTTATTCAGCAAATATGCATTAAATTGATCAAACGTGGCAGTAAAGACATTTATAATGTTACAAAATATTTTTGTTTGGGAAAAAATGTTTATCAAAGAATCCTGAAAAAAATGTATCACTGTTTCCATTCAATTATTAGGCAGCAAAAACTCTTCACAACATTAATAATAATAATAAGAAATGTTTCTTGAGCAGCAAATCTGCATATTAGAACTTCTGAAGGATCATGTGGCACTGAAGACCGCAGTAATGATGCTAAAAATTCAATTTTGCCATGGCATGAATCAATTACATTTTAAAATATATATATAAAAAAAGAAAACAATTATTTTGAACTAATATTTCAGAATATTAACGCATTTACTGTATTTTTTGATCAAATAAATGCAGCCTTGTTGAGCAGATAAGACTTCTTTTAAAAACATTAAAAATGTTTACTAGGGATGGCCCGATACCATTTTTTTTCAAACCGATACGAGTACGAGTATTTACATTTGTGTACTTGCCGATACCGAGTACCGATACCGATATTTCTACCGCAAAAGTAATAGGCTCCCAGAAGAGAAGACGACTATTTTAGAACACAGGTTAGAAGACTGTTTTTATTTTCTTCTCTGCTTGTTTTAACAAGTCTAAAAATAAATAAAAATTAGTAAAATAATAAATGTATTAACTCACAAACCACTGTTAATTTAACATTAAAGCAAGCAGGCTACTGCGTGCATGGTCTGGCATGACTGAATGCGCGCAAAGTGCGCTCCCTTAATAAATCCTAAAAGCTGACAATTCATCGCGATCTCACACATCTCTGTTATTATCAATGAAGCTGACTGCACAATCAATCTTTCATAATATCCACACTTTGTTTGTTATAATTAGAGGATTTGCCAGCATACAGAATTCAGCACTGAACAAAAAAGTCCGTTTTGAGCGGTGAGGGGAGTCTATCTTAAATGCTTCTGATTGGCCATTGCGTTCCAGAAATCAACACATATGTCTGTGATTGGCTACATCGCTCAACGCTGTAACCATGTTATGAATAGAAACTCTGGCCTGTAAATCGTTTCTATTTTGTTGTAGTTGTTCTTGTTGCTTTTCTGCAAGAGATGAATAAAAATCTTTTAGTTTTTGTTTTATTCATAGATATTTCTAGTTTGCGGGAGTCCCGCGAATCGTTTTATTCTCCCGTAACCCGCACACACAGAGTGAGTGCAATACCGCGCGCGCTCGGCCATCAGATCTATGATGCGTCTTCAGATGTTTAATTAGATTTCTGGTGTTAAACGATGTACTTTCTTTCCCTCCTCTCGACACCTTAGCTGAACATAACTCACAGTCTGCCTTGCTGTTGTCATCACCCCTTATCTTGAAATGAGCCCAAACCGCCGACATTATACTTTCCTATGCCTCAGTTCACCTCGACAAAGCACTCGCGGCGGCCAGTTTCGTTTTGCAAAATGTACGTGGTATCGGTGCGTGGTATCGGCGAATTTTTACGAGTACGAGTATATTAGGACAGTATCGGCCCGATCCCCAATGCCAGTATCGGTATCGGGCCATCCCTAATGTTTACTGACCTCAACGATTTGAACTGTAAACTTAATATCTACAACAACAAAAAAATACAAATGGAAAATGTTTTTAACTATCATCTTTAGTCATTGGGTTGTATATTATTGCTGTTGCTGCTTATTTATGAAAGGAATAAGCCTCCAAACACTGTACACTAAAAGATCCTTTTCCACAAGTATATTAAAAAACATCATTTGGTTAAAAATGTCAATTCTCTCATCTGTCATATGGCTGGCTGCAAAAAAGCAATACCCTCCCTGTACATTTTGTGATTGGTTTTCATCAATGTCCTTTTAATGGATTTCAGGAGAGAGTAAATCTTGAGTTAGTTCCAATACATGAGCAGATGGCATCAGGAGATTGTGAAGCATGGATCTGCGCTTACAGTTCAGACTGAATCTCTCTGGTCTCTTCCCTTTAGATGTACCCTGAGCTGCAAATCACAAATGTGGTGGAAGCCAACCAGCCAGTCAAGATCGAGAACTGGTGCAAGAAGGACAAGAAACAGTGTAAGGGACACGCTCACATCGTGATCCCCTACAAGTGCTTGGGTAAGTGATGTTTGATTGACAGCTTTGTTGTCCTTTTAAACGGGCAATTATCCAGAATGCCTCATGGGGTTAAAGGTGCCATTGTGGAAGTAAGACATCTGAGAACTAGAACAGCAGTTCAAAGTGACAAGACTACGACGTTACAGATCAAATTCAGTCCCTGAACTGGGGCTCAGGTAGCCCGCCGTTCGAGGCCTTTTACAAAATATATTGTGATGCTACTCCACTACTTAAGTAGCTACAGTCAATCTCACAGTTATATTACTGTCTTGCAACTTGAAACCCCAACCCCCCCAAAAAGTTCAGTTAGTACAACGCTGGTCTCAGGGGCCACGTACACACTGTAAAGTTTCAGGAGTGACAACCACATTTGCGAGTAAATCATTCGCAAATGCGACCAAATTTCATGAGAGGTGACTAAAATATGTCTTTAATTTGCTCCCTGTGTCGCCTTCTCTCACACACGCGCACTCACCATGAGAGAAAGAGAGAGCACATGCAGGGCTCGTTGACAGAACTGTCACTGTCCCAGTCGGACCAGTGCTGCGTAGTCCTGAAAGTTGATCATTTGCACGTGTTTTTAAGCCTTGCCAATTTAAACATTCAAGAACAAGAAGATGCGAAAGATAACTTTCCCGTGCTGTGTGAGAAGTTTTGTCTGCACAAACTGCACATCCCATAGAATACCGCGTCTGACTGCACGCGAATACTAAATTAATCTCTCGTTCACGTCGCTTGAACGGACAATTTCACACAAAAATATGCCAAAATGTCTTGGCGAGTATCCTAGTAAACATAGTTGGTTATGTCCTGCTGTTATTCCTGCTGCCTGTGTTTTTAATGTTAGTCATATGAAAAAAGACTCACTGGAAAAAATTACTCGGTGCTCTTGACTGAATAACTTTTGTAACTTTAATAAGGATTCATCTATTTAATTTACACAGTGAAGACTATGCAGTGTTATTTTACATTTGAATAGGCTACTTTATTCAATTTCTGCACCTAAATACAGTTAGATCTCCCTGTAAAACCTGAAAAGCACTTGAGCTTCGGTGTGTCCGTAGAGGGTTGATTTTAATGTGGGAGTGAGTCCCCTAAATTATCGTTCCATGTGTGTGCGGAACGTGACTCACTCCTGAAACTGCGATGATTGACACCATGGTAACCATAGCAACGTTCTGGCGTCTCGCATGATTGGTATCCGCTATTCTGACTAAAGTAATATTACAGTTACAATAGACTAGACTCGTTATGTTCAGCTATTTTAACTAAAGCACAGTCGATGGAGGCACCGTGTTTTGTTAATTCTTAAAGGCTGCTTCACAGAGCGCGCTCGCAGTGTTGCCATAAAAGCGTTTTTGGGCTTGTTGTTTAAACTTGGCTCATAAATCGACCGAGTTTATGGAGTTATTAAATTGAAATTAAATTGCGAGGTTGGTTGCAATATTTCGGTCTTATTTTCAGCATAAAGCATTTATTTTTTTAATGGGCTTGTTCTTGTTCACTGATTTCCTCTCAAGATCTGGCAACACAAGTGAGTCATGGCTTGTACCGTTTTCCCTGTGATTTCTTGCACGGCACATACAGACGAGAGATACATCTCTGATCCACATTAAAATACGTATTTTAACATGCATCAGAGATGTATCTCTCCTTCGTTTGTCATATCTAATATCTCTCGCTGTACACGCCATTAACAACTAGTTGTTCAGTTCGGTTCCATACACACTGCGTAGAATTGTTGTAAATGACTGAGCTGTGTGTGCGCAGAACAGGATTAAGCACTAAAAGGTGAACTGACAACTGAATTTAGCTGTAGTGTACGTGACCAGGAAGGTGGCAGTGGGGTGAAAAGCCATTATTGTGTGGAGAACTTCATAGTAATAAAGCAAAATCCCATTTCCCCCTTCCAGACAGAGGCTGGTGGAGATCCATTGGGCTGTGAGTGTGTATTGTTATTTCTCTCCTCAGAGGCGGCTAAAATACATCGCTTCTCCTCCAAGAGTTTTCCCAGCAATTGGCAATGACAACTTGGTCATTGGGGTGGTTTAAACTGTCAGAGTTTGTAAACTCGCTTTAGCACTCTTTCTTCACTTCTTTTTTTTTTTTTTTTACTTTGCTAACAGCGTGTCCGACTCAATAACTGGATGTTTGCGATGACTTGTACTGTAGTTAACATTAAAACACATCAGTGGAGAATCTCTGCATAGAAATTGCAAAGAATCTGATCAGAAATTTAGGGCGTTTAAGATTTTTTTTAAAATGTTTTGGAAGGATCAAAAATACAGTAGAAACAGAAATATTGTTAAAAAAACAGTAAAAAAAATTACCATCTATTACCAAAATAAAAGTAGGCCTATCAATATATTTCCAAAAAACCTGACCCCAAATTTTTAACAGTAGTGTATACTGAATCAAGATATTCAACCCAGTAAACCATTAAGCAGCACTTTAATTTATTTTTGCCGTGGTGCATGCTGGGAAAAAAGTCCAGAACCACAGAAATCAAAACGCACAACCCAGTGGGGTTCAAAAGTGTGGCCACATTTAAAACCGAGGTTTAATTAAAACTTGAAAATAGTTTTACTGTTTTAGTATATAAAAATAAATCAAGTATTTGATTATAGAAGGCTGAAGAAGAAATATTATAGAAATATATATTTAAGAAATATTATGTTTCTAGCCCTCTGGGGTCGGCGGTCTCGCCGGCGATACCAGATCACTTTTTTCCTTATCAGTGCAAAAGAGACTCAAATTACTCTGTTGATTTTGATCTTACATATAAGTTTTGTACATCATTCGATCCTGTTAAGTTTGTATTTTTTTTGTGGAACCTCACAATAAAAACAAAGTGTTGTGCTTTTCGCCTAATAAAGAAAAATAAACATGATGCGCGTTCTGCGTTCTCTCTGTCAGTGAAGTCCATTCTGAAACGCTTCCGAAAAATGAACTGTAACTCTGCAAAGACTCAGTCAAACAGGTATACAGGCACACAGGCATGAAGCCTGAATTATCTTCTTTTAAATGAAGTAATTTATATAAAAAAACAAATTTTCTCATTTTATGTAATCTGTACGAAAAGAGAGAGATGATAGTCGTTCTCGTCTCAGCTCATTAAAGTTAATTTGACCACGCCCACGGAGCGCACGCTCTATTCAAACACAAATGCTCTGAGGCGATCCACGCCCACACATCAGCTGGATAACCCACCGAAAGAGACTCAGATTTACGACGCTGTGAGGAATAATACTATCTTAATAATAATAAAAATACCTCAGAAGTGCAGGTAGTTTCATTTGGAGGAGCAACGGATCCAGCTGAGGAATAAGTAGGCTACATTCTTTATTTTCAAGTGCTTTGTTCTAATCGCGATATGAAATAGTGTCTGTAAACAAAAAGACTGTTTGAATATGAATCGCATTTTTGTGTGTGAATGAATGAACAGCTTTTACCTAACTATATTCCAATACTGAGATGAGTAAAAATCGACTGAAATATGTTGAAATAAAATATTTTTGTATAAGCAACGTATTAAACTGCAAATTAACATTTATATGTCCTAATCATAAAAACGATATGTTACATATGAAAGATAAGATGTCGTTTTTACTGTAAAATACTGCCACATCAAATAAGCTTGTTTGCTAAGATGTTATTATAGTGTTTGTTCGATTGTAGGCTATATTCAAACTAATTAATCCGCAACTGTGAAATATGTATGATAAAATGTATACTTTAGTATATACAAAGAAAGATTACATTTGAAATATAGTTCAAATTTTAATTGTTGTTGTAATTGTAACCTTTTTATAAAAATAGCAAAAATATATGTAGGCTACATATAAATAAATCTTAGGTAAATCTTAAAAGCTCAATATAAGCCTCCTCTTTAAATTATTTGTATTGTGTTTTATTAGTGACACATTTGGGATATATTCCCAAACTTTCTGTAAAAACAGTATGAGAATTCACTGCACAATTACTAGAAATGTTTACATTTGATATTATACAATTTGCAAGCACAATTTGAAAAATAAATAAATAATTGGAACTGTGAACCAATTTTGTATTATATAGGCATATATACACTCACCGGCCACTTTATTAGGTACACCTGTCCAACTGCTCGTTAACACTTAATTTCTAAGCAGCCAATCACATGGCGGCAACTCAGTACATTTAGGCATGTAGACATGGTCAAGACAATCTCCTGCAGTTCAAACCGAGCATCAGTATGGGGAAGAAAGTTGATTTGAGTGACTTTGAACGTGGCATGATTGTTGGTGCCAGAAGGGCTGGTCTGAGTATTTCAGAAACTGCTAATCTATTGGGATTTTCACGCACAACCATCTCTAGGGTTTACAGAGAATGGTCCGAAAAAGAAAAAACATCCAGTGAGCGGCAGTTCTGTGGGCGGAAATGCCTTGTTGATGCCAGAGGTCAGAGGAGAATGGCCAGACTGGTTCGAGCTGATAGAAGGGCAACAGTGACTGAAATAACCACTCGTTACAACCGAGGTATGCAGCAAAGCATTTGTGAAGCCACAACACGCACAACCTTGAGGCGGATGGGCTACAACAGCAGAAGACTCCACCGGGTACCACTCATCTCCACTACAAATAGGAAAAAGAGGCTACAATTTGCAAGAGCTCACCAAAATTGAACAGTTGAAGACTGGAAAAATGTTGCCTGGTCTGATGAGTCTCGATTTCTGTTGAGACATTCAGATGTTAGAGTCAGAATTTGGCGTAAACAGAATGAGAACATGGAACCATCATGCCTTGTTACCACTGTGCAGGCTGGTGGTGGTGGTGTAATGGTGTGGGGGATGTTTTCCTGGCACACTTTAGGCCCCTTAGTGCCAATTGGGCATCGTTTAAATGCCACGGCCTACCTGAGCATTGTTTCTGACCATGTCCATCCCTTTATGGCCACCATGTACCCATCCTCTGATGGCTACTTCCACCATGTCACAAAGCTCTAATCATTTCAAATTGGTT